TAATCTGCCCAAGGCCTCAGGTACTACAATGCAGCCGTCCGGAATCCTAACCCACCCAGTAGATTCCTCTTTTCCTCCCAGCTTGTTGCATAGTTCAGCTTCCCCTGGAGTGTAGGTAGGGGTGTCTGTCAGCACTCTGGGCGGTAGGGCCGGCAGAATGTCAATTGGCCCCACTGGTTTTCGGGCAGCCTCCTTTGCTGTCTGATCAGGGAAGGAGTTGCCTTGTGCTACCTCAGAGCCCGAGTTCTGGTGCCCTGGGCCGTGGATGATCATCACTTTCTTTGGCAGCCAAATTGCCTCAAGCAGGGCTGGTATTTTTTCCTTATTCTTGATTTCTTTTCCTCCCGAGGTCAGTAGCCCCCTTTCCTTATATAACGCCCCATGTCCATGTGCCGTGGCAAAGGCACAGCTGCTGTCCGTGTAAATGGTAACAGTCTTGTTTTCACCCCACAGCAGAGCTTGAGTCACTGCTACTAGTTCAGCCCGCTGAGATAGTTCCATGGCTTAGGGCTCGTGCCCAGATGACAGTCTCAGTGATAACCACTGCAGCCCCAGCATACCTGACTCCTGAGACGAAGCTACTCCCATCCGTAAATAGAGTAGCGTCCAGGTTCGGCCAAGGGCTGTCTGTCAGATCCGGTCTGGTGCAGGTGACGTTCTCTGGGACCTCAAGACGGTCACGTAGGGGTTGGCAAGGCTCATCGTCAGACTGTAGGGTGGCTGGGTTGAATGCAGCAGTTTTCAGGAACTGTATGTGGGGTGGGTTGAGAAGCAGGACCTGATGCTGGGTGATTCGAGCATTGGAAATGCACCGGTCCGGTGGACTGCGAAGCACTGACTCAACTGCGCGTGGGGCGATGACCTGAAGGTCTGCCCCAGTGTCAGTCTTAGGGCTTCCTTGGTGAGGACTGCAGTGGCAGCCGGCGCCCTCGGACAGTTGGGCCATCCTGCTGCCACGCAGTCCGATCTTTTGGAGAGGTATGCAACTGGTCGCTTCCAGGGTCCTAGGATCTGTGTCAGGACCCCCTTCGCGATTACCCGTACCTCGGTACCAAAGAGCTGGAATGGCTTTTCCAGGTCGGGCAGGGCGAATGCAGGGGCTGTGGTCAGGGCTGCCTGCAGGGCTTCAAATGCCTTCCTTTCTTCCTTTCCCCAGGCTAAGTCCTCTCCTTTCCCTCTGGTACTGGTGTACAGGGGCTTAGCTATTTCTCCGAACCCCGGAATCCAAAGCCTGCAGTAACCTACTGCTCCCAGGAACTCTCAAACCTGTCGCTTGGTGCGCAGCTGGGGTATCCTCAGAATAGCCTCCATCCGACTAGAGGACAGGGCCCTTTGGATTGGCTCCTTGCATGGTTGCAAGCGGGACCTTGGGCATCTTCTTGGTCTGTGCTATATCTACCTCATCTCTATTGCTGAATACTCGGGCTCTCTCGACCAGCTCAGACAGGTTCTTTCCTTCAAACCCTTCCATCCTCTGCAATTTCTTTCTAATATCCGGGGCCGACTGACTGACAAAGGCTAAATTCACAGCCCTCCTATTATTAGGGTCCTCTGGGTCAATAGGGGTATACAACCGGTATGACTCTAAAAGTCATTCCAGGAACGTCACCGGTGATTCATCCTTAGCTTGGATGACCTCGCTTACCTGAGATAAGTTAATGGGTCGTCGGGCGGCAGACCGGAGGCCCTGGAGCAGAAGCTGGCGATACCGTTGGAGAGCTTCCTTACCTTGGTCGGGCGTGGGGTCCCAAGGCGGGTGGGGGTT